CCATACAAAGCTGTGCAAGATGTCTGAACGCTTGAATTCCGTCTATCACTTTCCTATTATTATGTAAGTCACCATTATCTGAACAAATAATGAATGCCTTTTTTCATTTATACAATTTTAAAGAAATGGGCACAAAAGCTGTAACTAGCCTGTAGATAAATGGCTACTTTGTCAATTTTTTAACAAATGTATTTTTTTGTTGATATTAATTTTTGCTGTTGAGCACTGTTGTTTAGTTTACGATACCTGAATATAATTTTCAAGTATACGTTTTAAAAGGAGTTTTATAAAAAGTGTTATTATTATTTTTAATAGAAATTCATCAGTTTTTCTAAAATAACGTCTAGATAAGCTTACATGTGTAAAATTTAACTAATTTAAATTTTAATTTAATTTCTACGATGACGAAATTTAGCTGGAAATTTTACTTAACATAGTTAGATAGTTGTTTGTTGGATATGTATGATTTGTTATGATATAATTGGTTTGGTTTTTACGCTATAATTACTAAAATTCAAAATTGACCTTTGTGCCCCGCCCTACTATATATATATATATATATATATATATATATATATATATACATATATTCAAAACACACAATATAATGTGCGTTTTATAGATAAATGTAGTAAACAAGATCTGCTAAAATAATACAATGTCAAAATTATACTATTTTTCAGATACTCTATGCAGAGTTTTCTAACAACAGTATCAAAATATTTCTTCGTATTTGTACATTATACAAATCATTTGGATTTACTGGATGTAGAAAAAGTCGGAGTATATTACGCCTACAGTTCTTTAGTATCACTCATAGTAGAGGCGAATTATTTCATTTGCGAAACGTCGTTTGTGGCAAACGCATGTCATAAGGTTGATAGAGAATGCTCCAAAACTGGGAAATTATTACATAAATTGAAACCTTGTGGGAAAAATGAACAAATCAAGAATCTGGTATATATTTATTATATGGAAGAAGAAAAGATTGTTAAATAGAATCGACCTAAAATTAAGTGAGAACTGGTGGTGCATGGCATCGTGCCTTAAGGCAAATATCTGGAAATTAATTAAAAATTAAAAGAGCTTTAAAATTTTTGAAAACTTGGAAAATTTAGATTTCTGAAAATATTGAAATTTTTGAAAAATTTTACTATTTTGAAAAATTTGAATTTTTTTTATTGAATTTTTTTGGAAATTTTGAACTTTTTTTTTCAAAGAGACAAAATATCGAAGCGAGTGAGCGCCGCGTTGTTGTCTAACGGATAAACATTGGTACGGAACACATAGAAATGTAAAAAAATGTACTTATTATTAAAATCTCTATAAAATATCTGATGACTTTATGTGCTAGGTCTTAAGATCATTTTTGATCGCCAAATGGCTTTTTTTAATTGTTTATTAGATCTCCGTCACCGCTGGACCTGCGTTCCCAGAAAGTTAATCAGTCGTCTTTTCGTCAATACAAATATAATTTTTGTTGAATCAGGCAAATCGGACGGTCCGTATCTTCGAACCGGCTGAACCTGTCTTTTCCAAAAACTAGTCAGCACGTCTGCCCGTCGGTACAAATCGAATTTTTTGAATTATTCAAAACGGTAGATCCGTGTTCCCGAAATCGTCGAGGAAAATTTGTATCCGCATATACATACATACATACTACACACACAACATATATCTTTCAGAAACCTTTGAAACATAAAGATGTGCAAAAAAAATTATTTTCTATTATTGCTATAACTTACCCCACGGGAAGGCAAACAAATCATTTTGGGAAAATATATGATAATAAAATGTTAAATATTTGGCAGAGCAGATAATTCAAATGCAAAAGTAATAAAATTCTATTAATTAGACTGCTTTTTTATTCATAATATATTAGTGAAAGGTAATCATCAATTTGCTTCTGAAAAGAAAAATCGATTTAATTTGAGCAATGACAACATAATCAAAAAGATTTATAGATTAGTTTTTTTTTTTGAGATTTCAATCACTTTCTCCGCCAGTAGTTGAAATTTGAAAAAGCGATTCCAAAGTCAATTTCCTATAAATTATATAGTCTAAAAGTTTTAATTGGATTAAAAATCATTATATTTACGTGAAAAAAGGCTGTAAAAACAAGACTATTTTGCACATCTTGATAGTATGGTGAAAATTTTGATATGTTCAATTTATAAACAAAATCACTTTGATAGCGTGCAAAAGTATTATTTATTATTTGACACCGCGGCCGATGCTCTGAGACTGTATCAATGTGTCTTAGCTCTTTTTATGCAAATAAGTTTATATATGAATCAATTAATAATTTTTCCCTGATTTTAATGTGACTAGTTTATAACTTATAGAATATGTTAGCAGTGCTGGATTTACAGTAGGGCAATCGGGGCTACTTACCCAGGGCGGCAAATTTTTGGGTGGCGGCAAAATTTGGATATTGAGAAAAAATTCTATTCAATTTATCAATTTTTTTACAACATTTTTTTATTTCAAGAAATATAATTAACAAAACATAATACGATTGCAATGCAAAATTGGGTTGAAATAAACGATAACTAAATTTTTTATTTTGCTTGCCTCCCTATCCGAACGTAAATTATCAAATTGGTAATAAGTTATCAAATTTGGCAATTGGCTAATATAAATACCGGAAAGAAGCTGAAAGTTTAAGAAAATATTTTTTTCAGTTCTCGAGCCCTCTTAAAATGACGTTTTGGCACTTCCAACTTAAAGCGCCGAAAAACAATTTAAACTAGTGACTCATTTGCCTTAAGACAAATTACTGAAACATCCCTACTGAAATACATTTTATAAAGAGCTTTAAATTTATTGAAAATGAAAAAAAGACTTTTAAAACACATTTTTTTGTATTTTGAAATTTTTCGAAAATTATGAACTTTTTGCAAAGCAATCGCGCTGCGTATCTGTTTCAGAGAAGAAATATCGAAAACTCAATTACCATTTTTCGTAATTGCCTGTACCAAAAGCTAATCAGCACGTCTCAAATCTAATATTTTTTAATATTCAAGCCGTTTATGATTCAATTCCTATTGATAAGGAGACATGCTGATTAGTTATTGGTCAAGGCAGTCCACCGGTTTTTGAAGATACGGGTCAAAATGCCAAAAATAATAATTCAGTTTTTGAGGAAAAAGCGTCCAATAACATTCAAAAAAATTACAGAATAAATACTGCTTAAATTTTTGTGGGGCAGGTTTAGCGGTTTCGATGATCCAATAAAAAAATTTGATATAGAAACATTTGGCGGACAAAAGTGATCTAAGACATATGCACATTAAATTACCAGATATTTTAAAGATATTATAATAATAAGTATAAATTTTGTTTACATTTATATAAGTTCTGTAGCATTGTTTATCCGTTAGACTGCGACACGGCGCTTCGCCTTCTATATTTTGTCTCTCGCAGCTGAAGCAGCACGATTGCTTTAAAAAAGTTCGAAAGTTCGTAAAATTTCGGGATGGGGCGGCTTTTTGTCATTGCCGGGGCGCCAAATTTCTAATCCGGCCCTGTTGTTAGTTTAATTATATTTTATCTGTAGTTATGAATGATATTAACAAGTATTAAGCAAACACCATTATTTACCACCGCAATGCTTTTTGAATTATTGAGATATTTAGTTCATTTCTGGATTTTTTTTCATATAATGTAAACGAGAATGTTATTAATATTTTAAAAAAAATTAAAAATATACGTCACTAAGTTTTTATACATTGGTTCCATATCATAAAATTATCTATACTTCTTTCATCCTAAATTATTATTATTATTGAATATATATTTATATTCGAAAAACATGCATACAATATAATTACCAATAATTGACGCTTACTATAATGCATTTTACAGATGGAATTATGGTCTTTACAATTGATTCACTACAACGTACACTTTACAGCTGGAGGACTATTTCGATTCAATTCCAGCTTCATTTTTTCGGTAGGTAATATATTGATAAACCAATTTGTTCAAAAAGTTTGTTAATTTTTATATAAGAATTTTTTTATAGATATTTGGATCCATCGTCACTTACGTCGTTGTGCTTATTCAGTTCTATTTGAATAATCAGAAAAATTAACAAAATTAAATAACCCAAACTTATTCATCATCAAGCTAAACAATTTAAAATCTTTTTAACTTTTTTTAACTTCCCTAAGGAGAACTAAATTTATGTTTTCTCCGTTTGAGACCGCAGATCATTCGGTTTGGGATCAATAGGAAAAAATATGTGTGTATGTATATGAGCCAAAATTTGGACTCGCGTTGATTTGTTTTACGCAACAATTGGCCGAGCAAAAAAAGTGCTAAAATTTTTGTCCACGTTTTACCCAAAAATCTTGAACCAATTTTTAAAATTCATAAACCGTTAAAAAAAATATCGGTGTTCACAAAAAAATATTTTCATAAATATTATAGGTGGTAAACGGAATTTCTAGGTAAGCGCTTAAAAAACGCAAATAGTAAGTGTTTAATGTATGTAATTTTCTAAGTTAATATTTTGTGAAATATTGTTTAATCACAAATTTAATGTTTATATAACATATATAGTGAATGCATTACCATAACTTATACCATGGATTATTGAATTTTCTGTTTTTAACATTAAGATTAAAAAAATTTTCTGGTAAATAAAGGCTAAAATTGCATCCGAAACGTAAGTATGTAAAATAAATTGATTGATGCTATAACCGAATATTAGACTATGTTAATGCATATGTCAATTCTTAATTAAAAGAAAAAAGCGTTACTTGACGATATTAAGACTTGAATGTTTAAAAATATGATAAAACTGGACAAATAATTATTTTAAAAACCTGAAAATAAAGTTGAAAACCACGTTACCCATAGATAAGGACGATGAAGAAATGACGATATCGGGCGTAAAGCTTTAACAAAACGACGCTGATGGCGCACTATGCGTGACAGATGACAGTTTTATTACCCCCCTGTCCCAAAGATGTTCCTAAATTTAAAGCGAGATTATTATTTCGGGCAACACTACAATTTAAGCCGGATAAAAATTTTCCAGCAGACATTTTATTAGTGAACTTGAGTTGCGTGGGTTTGACTAAATAATTAAAATGGGTGTTGAAATTGAAACTATTAAGCCTGGAGATGGTGAGTGTTCATAGGATTATTGTTCATATGAAATGTGCAATTGAAATAAAAATTAATTATTTTATAATTTGCTTGTCTCGGAAATGATCAATGTTTACGTTCCGCCTTGAACTTTAATTGTTGCAGAAGCGCCCTAAAAACGACTTGTGAAATATATTAAATATGTATAAATGTGTATGGCTTTATCCATAATTTATTTATTTGATGGTTATTAGTGATTAAAATCTAAATATTTAATGTAGATTATGAATTAAATTTTTTTTCGTTTTGGCGTAGGCCGGCACTACGAAACGCATGTAATTACCGAATTAATTAAATCTGTATGAGCTGTAAAGTGCAATATCTTTCATAGTCATTAAAACACATACATAAATATTATCACTCAATTAACGTTATCTTGTCCGCCATCCAGAAAGTCAATGTCATAGAGCATCAATTAAATAACTAAATAAAACAATTAAATGTGATTTTTAATCCAGGAACCACTTATCCCAAAACTGGTCAAACTGTAGTTGTTCACTACACTGGTACCTTGACAAATGGTACACAATTTGATTCATCACGCACAAGAGGTCAACCTTTCAAGTTCAAAATTGGCAAAGGTGATGTTATTAAAGGATGGGACCAGGGTGTAGCCCAGGTTGGTATTTCACTTTTACTATTTTATAAGTATATAAAATAAGTGCTATAGCTTCTGACTATAATCTAATAATACTGATAAATGTTTGTGAGAAAATTATTAATTCTAAAATAAAATTAATAAACTATTTAGTTCGATTTGTGTAATGTGTATTAAAATCATTTGTTTTTCAGATGTCCGTCGGTCAACGTGCCAAATTAACCTGCTCCCCTGATTTTGCTTACGGGTCTCGTGGACACCCAGGAATCATTCCACCAAATGCTACATTGATTTTTGATGTAGAATTACTTCGTGTAGAGTAAAGTGTTCTAACTAAATGTTTTTAACTTATTTGCATTTATGCTGCAACTTATACCTCAATCACTATCAAATATTGATACTCCAATATTATGAACAATTCATCAATTTTAGTGTTTCTTCTTCTGTAAAGATAAATTAAATATGATTTAAAAAAATGCATTTTGATTTTTAATTCAAAACTGTCTAGCAAATTCTAAAATTTTCTGCAAAAATTAATAATCTCACTTAATTGGCAAATTGTTAACCTTGTCATGTTATTGATATTCAAATAGCTATTTATTAACTTAAATGTAGAATTTGTAGGCCTGTGTTATGTCAATAAATTGTATTAATTCTAAATTCAGAAGAATACTTACCTCTTACCTGTGAATATAAGTTGTTTGTAAATTTATTTCAATTAACTTATATTTTTATGCTTTTTGACTTGCATTTAATGTGAAATTAGTTCATCTAAATGTCCATAATATTGTTTCTGTAAAAAAAAGCTTTGCATGCTGTATAGATTGTGGCAAATGTTCTCGTTTTGTTGTCCTCACATTATTACTGGAGAAAAAATAATTTCAGTTTTGAACAGAAAAAGAATTTTGGTAGGGTATAAAAGAATTTAATTTTAGGTTGATATAAATATATAACAGAATGTGTGTAGAAAATGAAAAGTTTGATGTACAAAATAGCTGACTTAATATCATTGTAGCGAAAATTCTGATAATCAATGAAAACTGTACATATGTACTATAAGCGTGGGGTCAATCCTCGTTTTGGGGAAAATGAAACAAAGTATATACAAAACTGTCAAAATTATGAGATAAAGATAGTTAAGAAGATATGCAAAAGTTTGTGCACCACTTTTCAAATAGAGTGCTAAATATATAACATTTTTCAAAGAAAAATATATGAAAAAAAGGATTGGTTTGAACAAAATTGCATAAAACATCCAATTCGCATAGAAATAGGAATGTACAGAGTTGAATGCAGAAGGTATGAAGACATGAAGAAACTATTTTAGCGTTAAATGAGGTGTACAGAAAAGAAACATGTTTTCTTATAAGCCATAGCGGAGTGTATTAGCAATGGCATATCTTTCGCCTCTCCAATTTATAATTATTAGTCACAAGTCCACATATTTAATTTACAAATTATCTCTGTTTTTCAGCATTTCAATATTTAATTGAATAAATACACTTTTTACCCATATTTATTTATAAGAAGGGCCATGCGAGATGTTGGAAAATAGAGCCAGTTATTAATGCATCATATATTCTGATATTGTCTAGGGTTGGAGCAATATTATTAAAGCTGCTATTATTAATGGCAAGCATATACATTTTCTTCTGACAAATTTGCTTTTAAAGGTTTTTTCTGACAAATTTCTCACAGATATGATAAAAATAGTTCTTGAATATTGTTTGGAGGTTTGAAAACTATTTGATAAGGAAATATAATAAAAATAAAAAGGTAATATATAACGTGTTATATATAACTTTAATGTATTTTCATCTTCTATTTTCTCTGCATTTTGAATGTGAGGAGGGCGCCATTAAGGCGCACTCACTATGTGCTATTATTAAAGATATTTTTATTTTATTATATATATTTTTGTAAATTTAGATAAATAGAAATTTTATTTTTAACAGACACCTCATAATTATATACCCCAAAATTGTAAAAAGTGAAAGAATGTAAAGCATATTCAATCTAATGCATACGAACAGAATCATATTACATTTTTAAATAAACCGCTCGTAAAAAATTATTTCGGTATGCCTTCGATAATAATATACTTAATTATAGTCAATCAAATTAATTAAAACAACTTAGAAATTTGCTATAAAATGATTCACTTTATACAGGATATATAAAATATGATAAAATATATATTAATTAATTATTTATGTTATCCAAATCCAAATGTCAAGATTAATAGTACAATTATTTCAACACAGGCAACACCATGCACATCGCCGAGCTGATATTCGAGTTCGTGTTCGCCCAGTTGGCGGGATCTGACAGAAGCAGAGAAATCGTACTGGTGACAGCAAATTCGATTTCTGTGAATTTTGGAGTGCAATCAATAATAAAAAGTGGGTGTTCAATTAATTTTACTTGTGATATTATGATTAAATTGCACTTTACGAGTTAAATGTTTACGCTTGCATGTCCTTGATGTATTTCTATTATGAATCGATTTAATCTTATTTTCATTACTTCGATTTCAATGTGTGAATATGTAAAATTTGTTTTGTGTTATCACGTATAATTTTATGAAAACAGTTGGATCAGGATAATAAGTTTTCGCAAGTAGAAACTACATTTATCGATTTTATTTGCATGCTTTGAGTATATTGTAAGATGAGATTTAGTACTAGCTTTAGTCATAAATTATACATGCAAGGGAACTATTATAATTGTGTAATTATTGAACGATGAACTATGAAGTGATTGATAATGCATTTTAATGAACATTTACTTTTGGCTTTTGTGATTATTATTTAGTAGCATCAACAAAACTTGTTAACAATTTTTAAGGCCTAACTAATAATAGGAAAATGCAATGATGCTCTTTTTGCAGATTAAACAATCTTGAAGATTTAGATGAAAATTATGAATATATTGAATATTATGCCAATAATTACTTGTTTTTTTGAATATCAATTTTATGTTCGTCATATTACGTCATGACTGCTCGACAGGGTTTCTACAGAGTTAATAAAATTATATTACTAATTTCCGTCAATAAGTTGCTAGAAGTAATGTACTTCCTCCGATGCTTGTACTGTTAAAAAATAAGCTATTAAAATTTATAATAATTTTATGTCGATTAAAATATTTGATTCTTTCGTATCAATAAATCTATTGTAATTTTTTAAAACATACTTAACTCATTACTTAAATCATTGCTCTCTATCCCGTTTAAATTAGCGTAATAGTTCATTTGATACATAAAGTGTCGAAAAGAGCAAAAAAAATGAATTTTTTGCACAGGTAATCATGTGCTTGTTTAGCATTGTTGTATGTTTTTGCAGATTCTTAAAAGCCTTTCTAGTTCGTTCATATTCTATATTTTAATTATATATACATGATCACCCTAAAAATAATTTGTTAAATCTTACAAAATTTGAGAAATTAGTAAAATCGCTGTTGACGCTTTTGTTGTTTCCATTACAATTCAATAATTACACTAAATATTGAAATATTAAATTTTCGATATACGACTTCAAAATTTTGAAATTTTCGACAAATTTCAAAAACAAGTTCACTATTTTTGACGATTTGCTCGTATAGATAGTATAAGGGGGCTTCCAGTAATCAAGAGAGCGGATTTTTAAGGATTTTTGAACCCCTCCCTACACCTTGGTGATACGTGGTGATATTCAAAATTACCCCCCTCCCCCACCAAACATCACGTGTATTTTTAGTTGCGTGAAAAAACTAAAATTTTTGATTTTTTTTTAAATGTTTGTTTTTTTTAAAAAGAAATCAGTTGAAAGTAAATACACGTGATATCTTACCATACCCCTCCCTCCCCTCGTGATATCGTGTTTTTTTGTCAACTCCCCGTCACCCTAAAGACCTCACGTGATTAATAGACGCCCCCTAAGGGGTTCACACTTGAATTTAAACATACAACATATAGCCAGAAATAACAAGAAAGATTCATTTCAATACTCCTATGTTTTTGGGTCAAAAACGTCCAAAACCCGAAAATAAGTATGATCAGAATTACTCATTTTTTTGGTATTTTATGTTAAAAAATCGTTCGGAATGAGTTGCAGCTCTTAGAATTTATTATGAATATTATAAAATTACTTTCCTTTAAATATTAATTATGAATAAGCTTGACAAGAGCCTGAAATAATATTTACTATTATTGATTTGCTTATGAATAAATAAATAAATATGAATTTGGAAATCTGCTACCAAAAATGTATGCATCTTAGTCCAGTCATTTAAGCTTAAATTAGGTAAGAACCTCGGAATTTGAGATACCCAGCTGTAAGTCTGTAATACAGTAGGCCCTCGCTTTACACGGCACTCTGGGTACACGGTTCCCATACTACACGGAGCTAAAAATCCGACATCCCTCCGACTACACGGACTTCTTATTACGCGGTATTTGGTCAACAGCCCATAAGTTCGTTGTGCAAAAGGGTATTGGTGTAAATTTTGTTATCGACTTTATCTTTTAGACATGCCTGATTGTATAATAGCCGCCTAAGAACACGTTTGAGCTGACTACTGCGTCGCGCCAATTTTTGAATAAGGTGTCAATGTCCTATACGTCATTTCGTTCGTATTTCTCCTACTTCAAGTTGTATTTCTTGGTCTCCATACAACGCGATAAAAATGGTGCGATTTGTACCAACTCTGAGTCTCTCATAACACGGTTCCCATACTGCACTATGTAAGGTTCCATAGAACGCACTACGAATTAGCCTGAATTGTATGTTAAATACGAGTTTCTTATAGCACGGTTCCTATACTGCACGGTACGCACTTGCCGCGTAAAGCGAGGGTTTACTGTACTTGTATATTGACACCCTAAAAGTTGTCTCAAAACTTACATATGGTCGGGTGTCATTACCATATGTAGGTTTTGAGACAACTTTAGGGTGTCAATATACAAGTATTTACAGACTTACAGCTGGGTATCTCTAATTCCGAGGTGAACTTACTATAATGACTGGACTATCTAGACTCATAAGATTTCGAGATACACGACTTATATGAAGTTTTGAAATTTTTCGAAATTTATCAAAAAAAAAGATGGTAAATGGGGCTCGGACCAGAATTCACATATACATCATACAATAGCCAGCAATGACAATAAGAAAGTTTTATTTCAATATTTCTAATAAGATATTAATAATTATAAGAGCGATTCTTCATGATTTGTTTTTATAAACTACATGATTGATTTTCAAGAATTATGTTGTGCAAAAAGTGTTATTGGCGCGATTAATGTTGATTGACATTGTAAATTTTGTAATTTAGTTACCATCAATAAGTCATCATCTTGGCACTCACTCAGTTAAAATATAGAATTTATTTAGCTAGATATTTTCATGTTACTTTTTTAATGTTGTATTTCCCATCTAAATTATGAGATTATGAATCCAATGTACATTCGATATAAATCCGATCCTTTTTTAATCTTCT